AGGGAATCTTGAATAGGGATGCTCAGTTCAGCAACAAACTCCTGATGCCAATCAGACAACACTCTGGATTCAGCAACATCAGGTGTTCAGAGAGACACAAAATATCAAGCTACACCAAAAAAGAAAACACTTTTTAACCCAGCCTCAAGTCCAAATCTTCCCATTCCCTTCCTAGGACACCTGGGGACTTTTTTAGTCAGCTAAACAAGCATCACTGCTGTGCATTTAGATAATTCAGTGCTTACATCCTTAGGTGAATAAATCATATCACCCAAAAAGTCAAATACATCCTTTTGGTTAATACACCACCCACCAAACACACCAGATGGGACAGTGGTCTGTGGCCTGGGAAGTTTTAAGAAGTACAATGGAGAAAGGAAAGGGAATATTTTCTTACAGTTGTAACAATACTGGAATCAAAGACCTGCTTACCCATAGTTAATGTTTTCTTTGATGTCCACCTCCCTATAGTTTTTCAAAAAAGAAAAAGGGATTCATGAACTATTTAGACATCTTCATATGTCACAAGACAGTCCTGAAAGCATTTACTACCATCCCAGCTGCACCACCAGGGGTTAGTTTGCTGCAAGGTGTCAGTCTGTGCAGTAAGTGTGCATGTGAGAAAAAACACCATTTTCTAGATTTGCAGCAGCAGCAACTTCATAACTTTTGCATTTACACACAATGAAGATACTTTAATGGCACAGTCTGGTTATACACAAAGGTGCTTAAATTTTCAGGCATTTCATATGATTACTTTTTTTTTTTTAACACTGGCTACATGCAAGATACTTTTTTCCTTGTGGCTTTATGAGAAACCTAACACAACAATTCTTCCATCAGTGAGGCAGTGGCACAAACCAACTAGAACACTGATGCTAGTTTTATATGCATTCATAAAATAAAGATGCTCTTTGGTCAACCCACAGAGCACTGGTGGGAATCCATCCCAGGTGCCTTCTCAGAGGAGGAGAAAACCAAGATACAAATTGATTTCTACACAGGAAAAAAAATAATTAATGTGGGGCAACTGTTTTGTTACAGTCTGCAGAACTGAGTAGGCTCCTTTTGAAGACAGGGAAAGGAACTGCACCCCAGAGCAAACCAAAGACTATTGAACAAAAGCTTCACCTCCTACTTTTCAGGCTTTCTTTTACAGCTCATTTGTTCTAAAATAGAATCAAGCCTTGCAAATACTTTGTGAGTAGAAATAATCTATAATCTGTAGGTGTAGGAAGAACAGAGGATGAAGCAAGACAGAAACAGATATTCCCCTGTGTTCCTGCAGAATGCAGGCTTCTCTCTCAAAATTTTTTTCCCTGTCTATTTCTTGGCTCAAAAACTAATGAGCAAGTCTCTCCGAGCTGACTTAGTCATCCTTGCACCCTCTTCTGCCCATTCTCAGTCATGACAGGAGCATGCCTGAGGTCTCCAAACATTTTATGCTCTACCTCCTTAAAAAACAATTACCTGAACACTTAATTTTAGGATGTTTGTTTTGGCCCAAGCCAAACCCAGGGCAGCCAACAGGTTTGCTTTCTGACCAGTGTCTTACTAAACAGTTTATCTGGGACTGGTCAAGATGTTTGTTAAGACCAGCTGCTGTGTCAATGGCTTTGCAAATAAACACCCAGCTGGCTGAGCCCATACAACTGCTGTCCAGAAGCTCCTGGAGGTTGAACACACTCCAACTTTGCAGCCTCAGCTTTAGCATTTTAAAACTCTCATGGGCTGGAATAAGAAAAACAAGAGGGGAAAAAAAGTTGGAAGAATGTACTGGCCTGAGGTAGGCAACACAACTAGAGAGTGTTCTTGAGGGACCAGTGTGCCAACACCACTGGAGGCAGAAAGGTCTAAAGATGACTGTGAAGGAGGGTAGTGCTGAACTGGAGTGAGTGGAGGCAGCTCAAGTTTTTATCTGGTGTACACACTGCTTCATGGAAGCTGTTTCCCCTTCCTGAGGTAAGCATTCCTCCAGTGTGGAGGAACAAGTTAACTGCAGACTGCCACAGTGCACTAGGTTTCCCACCCATCTATCCACACAGCAAAACCAAGACAGCAGCTTACGCTGGATCTCGGACGTCTCTGGTGATGCGGTAATTCCAGTCGCGGAAAAACTCGTTCTCTTTGTCAAATTCACGCTCGTCTTCTCCAATAGTCACAGTGAACCTCTTCTCCTCAAAGTCAGGCTCCTGTTCTTTCCTCATAGTTGCCTTTTTCAATACCTGTCATGATAGAAAAATAAAAATATTGTAAAGAGAGAAGATTTCTGAGGCCCAGAGAAACTGCAGAATTAAAAACCCTCCCCTTGGAACCTTCCACGTGCTCTGCAACTAAAAGCACCTTCTTCTGCCCAAGTCTTAGGAACTTGCAGGATGCTGGACTTTTCCTGACATAAAACATGTATTTTGCTATTCCAACAGCTCAGAACAGCAGCAGACAGGCAACAGGTGTCACACATGCTGACTCCATTTTCTGCCATGATCAGACACACAGATCCTATAGGTGCTAGAGAAACAGGGACTGAAGTAAAGGAAACTGGAGCAGCTTTAAAACTTCTGTTTTGTGGTGGGTTTGGCTCCAAGATGTCTGATCAGGTCAGGGCCACAGATTCTCCCTAGCTCCTGTTAATATAAAAAAAACCAAACCTGGATGCCAGATCCTCCTGACTGTACAATAAAAGTGATTGACAATAAAATGTGGTTAACAGGTTAAAAGGCAAAAGGAAGGCTCCTTAAAAAGAGCAAGACACAACACGCTGCAAAAAGAGCTCTCCCAGCATCCTGCTCCCAGTGAAACAGGCCAGTGGCTTTTGGAGACAGCCAGCAAACTTCCTGAGAACACCACTTACCTCCTTAGCATGGCGGAGTCCTCTCTCCCAGGCACTTTCTGTTGGAGGGTCTGGAGGGGGTGGAGGTAAGATTTCATCAACAACTGGCCCTCCCTGTTGAACAGGAGAGCAGAGGAAGGAGACAAGACACTCAGAATTAGTTTTCAGTAGCAAACTCCTGGTTTTTACCCCAGAGTACCTCCAGATACTCAGAAGATGTATCAACATGACATGAGCTGGGACACACTTGGAAAGCTATTCACCTCTATTAGCAACTTCAAGACCACCTTTTAAAAACCACGTGTCCAGTAGATGTACTGAATTTTGCTGAAGTACTAGCTCAAAGAAAAAATCTTCACTTCTCCTCCAGCAGGAGACAAAAGCTAGGTGCAGAAGCCATAAATTCACAGGAATGATGTCCATACCCAAGGGTTGGCTGGCATCAGGGGGTGAGGGCCCATAGGAGGAGCACCATTTGGGGAGAAGGGCTCAGGCTTGGAGATCAAGGAGTAGTTCCCTTTGTCATTCACGCCAGGGTGAATAAATCGACAGTTCATGCCCCAAGTGCAGTGACCTGTGGAAATAACAGCTCTGTTAGACCCCTGGGAGGCCTCCAGCAAGCATTTGATCAGCCCCACAACCATTTAAAACCCATCAAAGAACATTGCTGTTTGAGACACCTGACTTTTCTTCCCTCCAACTTGTTGAGATTTACCTGTTTTTGTATACGTGGCAACTTGCCACCTCCCACCTTCCCAGGGATGACAAATAGATCCAGTCACAGCTGGATGAACGTACAAGGACCTTATTACAATGAGGAGAGGGGAGGGATGGATGTACACACACCATCAAGAAAATGCAGTAAAAAGCTGATGAGCTTTTCAGGTCTTATTAATGACAAACACTTTCAAGTCAGGAGCTTTACCTTTTACAGAAAACATTGACTATGACCTGACGGCAAGGAAAGCATCATAGCTCATTCAAAATAAACAGCTCTCTGGTGAGGCAGGAAGGACATCCAAGCTTTTCCCTCCAGCTGACTCCACCGGCTTGCCAGCACAAAGCAGGAAATGAGACATCACTATGGAGGCCAGCAGACAGATCTGAAGCTGCTCATCAGCTTCAGGTACCATCCCCAAGGAAACGGTAACTCATGGGTCTCAAACAGGATACCAAGCTAATTCCCAATTTTATTTTAGTTTGCTTTAAAATAAAACCCTTTTTTTTTTCCTTTTCTTCTGGCAATCCACTCAACATCAGGCAACAGACACCTTGCAGATTTCCCAGGAGACACCACAAAGCCATTGCTCGTCCTGCCTAGCTTGGGCAGCACACATGGATTTCAGGTCTGGAGCAGCTAATGCTGCCATGGATCTCAGCTGGCAGGGAAACATGTCAGAAATTCACACTGGAAAATACTCCTCATCAGATTAACCATGAGCTGGTGTTCTCAGTCAGAGGTAACACTGGATGCTTTTGTGCTGTCAAATATCATGGGAGCACAAACCCCTCTGCACAGGGGCTGAGGGAGCAACAGATCCTCCCTCAGTGCCTGCACACTGGGGCTAAGGGCTGCTGGACACCTACACCAACACTTACTGTTTCTACCAAGGTGTCAAGGGAAAGGAATGACCAGCCTAACAAGTAAGGGGCCCTGCTGCATATGTCAAGGTGGCTGCTCATCAAGCTACTTCACTGAAGGCTTTGCAAGCAAGTCATTCATGGCACTGGACAGACACTGCCAGGTGAGTGCTGCTCAGACACAGCAAGGACTAAAATCCAAACATATCCAAGGTCCCACATGAGCAGGGCCTGATGTCCCTGGTGGCAAATGAGCCTCTAAGGGGTGAGCAAGAGCAAGTGTCAACATTATCTGAACCCATGTCAAATCAAAGGAAAACAACTGTGGCAGGAGATCCTGCAGCCTGAACTTTGACTCAGGCAAATATTTCCATGTTGCACAGAGGTGAACGTCACACCAGGGACTCAGGAACAAACACCTCTCCATGCCGAGGGACTTCCCTGTTCCACCATCATCACCAACATGTTTGTGTCTCACTACAGGCAGAAAACTTGATACCAGAAGATATACAGGAAGCCAAGGTCATGGTATCTGATGGTCACGTCTCTGGAAACCCCCTAAGCAGTCCTTACGTGGCACATGCCACTGATGCAAGGAATGAGAGACTCCACCCTGGTCTCCACCCTCCTTCTAATTTCAGATTTTCATAAATTGTTTCAAGGGAGATTGTAAATAAAACCAAGTACATAAGCAAACATGAAGTGAGGTGAAGCCGAAGGTGAAGCAGGTGAGTTATAATCAGTTTAAATAAGAAAACATTTACAAAACCTACTCTCTATACTAAAAAAAAAAAGCAGGATACTCTAAGAAGGTTGTTGTGCAGTTGCACAAACTCTGGGGAATGTCCTATTAAGAATTATAATAAAATAAATACAGTTGGTTAGATTTAAAAGTTTCAAGTCTTTGGCCTCATTCTTCTTATGAATAAATAAGAAACACTTCTTATGATTTCCCACCCCACTTCTTTCCACCCCAGGCTGACAATCCCAGCCACCTTTCAGAAACATGGTATCTGACACAGCATGGAGCAATCTTCCCTCTTGAGATGAAATCCTCTGTTTACATGAGGATTATTTTTCATTCCAGCTAAGTATTTCCCCAGCCCAGCAGAAGCCACTGGCACATCTCACCCTGTCAGGTCCAGTGTCACCCTCGAGCACATCATCTTGCTGTGCTTTCTGGGCTGCCACACACGATGGCAATGTGATGTGACATCAGTCTCTACGACAGAGAAACAGTATTTCTAGTCCTATTTTCAACCTTAAAGTTTTAGATAATGTCTTTTAGTAACTAGGGAAGTGGGTAGGATATGGGATTGCAAGAAGCAATTGGCAAATCATGAGCTTGGTAAAACATAATGAGCATTTGCCATTTTTCTGTTCCACAGAATAACCTCTAGGCAACACCTGGCTGTTACATCAGCCCAGGCAGTTTCATTCCATGCTGCTTCAAAAACAGCAGCCAGTTTTCCTTCATTTGCTTCTACCAGGCTCACCATACCAGGGCAAAGCAATTTTTGCATAATGCCTCTATGCAAATTGAGCACCAAGGAAGAGAAAGGTGATACTGAGGACACCTGGGGCAGAGGTTATCATGTAGACAGGAGCTTCACTGGTACAAAACCAAACAAGAAACATGACAGCATCTCTGGTTTTCCTCTCACCACGACAGCCTGTTGTGGGAAACTGTCATTACCTTTCATAAAGAATCGGCAGGTGGGACGTGGCCTCACTTTTCTGTCGTTGGGGTCTTTGACTTCTCCTTCTTCTAAGTCATCATCCTGGAACAGACAGACAAGCTGACATTTCACGTGGTGCATTTTCGGCAGCGACTTGACATTTCACAATATGGTCAAATATCAGTCACTGAAAACACACCCTGGAGCAAAACACAAGAGAAAAGCAATATAAAGTTACAATAAATACCCCTGAGCATCTTCACAACATGCTGCTACAAACAGGAAGATGCATCAACTTCAGTGTTTCAAAGGTGGCTGCAAACCCCTGCAGGCATCAGGGACATCTGGGTACCACACCACAGATCAAGGTTTCAAGCCGCAACGTTTTACCCAATTAGATGCTTAAGGGCTCAAAATCAACAAGGATGATGGATTCAGCTCCTGTGCCTCAGCTGGGTGAGGCTGGCTGGGTATCTGCAGCTGCTAGCATGTGTGAGGCAGTCTGAGGAAGCTTCATGTTCTTTTGAGGCAAATGAGCTAAATGGTGTGAGCTGTCCTTCCTGCAGGCTGACAGTGACCATGGCTGGGACAGGGTAATGCCACCACCCTTCAGAGCCTTTAAAGTGGCCTGTTCCCTGCTCAGCACTCATGGCATCCCTGGTTAGTTCAAGCCAATTCTTCTCATTTGTTCATTTAAAATATGTCACGGTATCTCCAGAGGTTCCTTCCAACCCCACCATTCTATGGTTCCTGCATTAACACCATAACCCAAGGCAGACACTGCACACCCATAGCTCAGGGGCTGAGGGGTGGCTGCTATTACAACACTTGATTATAAAATGCTTCCCCACCATGCTGGGCAACAATCTCACACATCAACTTCTCAGGATAAAAAGTCATATTTATTTCTTCCAGTCCTCTCTGGAAGCAACTTGACACCTTCCCTTCTACTCCTCAGCTCCACACAGGAGCTGTGAATCAGCTCTAACAAAACTCCACATTACCCCCAGACACAGCAGTCTCAGGAAGAAATTCTAAGAGACAGAGGTTGCTTCAAAGATTAAGAACCATGGGGGATAAGAATGAAATAGAGAGTCAGGAAACACCTCCAGAAGAAGCCTTTGTCCTCTAGGGAAAAAAAACCAAAAAATCTTCTCTGGCCTCATTAGTTGAAAAGTCAAAAGGAGCTAAAAAGAGGTGGTAATGCAGAAGGCAAAGACATACATGGCCAGAGAGCTGTCAGAAGTTGGCAAGGAAATCAGTTATTTATCCTAAAGGCAGCCTGGCCTTCCCTCCATCTGCCTCTGCTTCTCCACCACAAAAGTTTTCAGCATATGAAACACATCTGAAGAGGGAGCATCTAGTGGAGGCCTCCCCTTTGCATGGCAGTTGCAGCAACCCTGAGCCAGTGACAGCAGTCTTCTACATGGAAAAGACTAGGAGAGTTATGTACTTTGATCAATTTAGCAGCTGGAAAGGAGGAAAAACCATCACTCGGCTGCAGACAAAGGATGAACAGCAAGATGGGTTACCAGCCTCTCCTGCTGCACTGCTCAGGGCAGCACGAGGAGAGCTCCCCTGAACAAGAGCAGATTTTAAAGACTACGTGTATATTCTAATTAAAACCTGCCTTTATATTCCCCCCCCCCCCCCATCACACTGCAAGACAGAGCTCTGAAAGCAGAGCCAGCCACAGAGGTTTCCCAGTTGCCCCCCAGAGCTGGAGATGGCTCCTGGCCAGGCGTGACTGGCAGAACCAGCCCTGCTCCTTTCAGAGGGGCTCTGAAGGTCTTTGCAAACACTGTACTCGAACAAAAGGGAAAGCATTTATTTCTGTGAGGTCTCCTTGGAATCAGGCAGCTGGGAACCTTGTTATGAGCTAACGTATGAAAAGAGTACAGACTCATCTTGTGCTTTGTAAGGAGAGGCTTCCAAGAATGCCTTAGACACTCAAGGAAAGCATTTATATTTTATTCCAGAATCAGACACAGAGTCAGGACTGCAGGAATTTTTTTCTCCCCCCTTGTCTGAACTCTCCCACAACACCCTGAAATTCCTTCTAACTGAATCAGAAATATACCAAACTTTTGGAAAATATTGAAGTGTTTAACAAAAATCACTTCCCAGAATGGCTAAAACATATTAAAATTGCATCACTTTTTTTTTTTTT